AGGCCTTCCGGTCGGAGATTTGGACCACCCTTCTGGCCTGTTGTTTTAGGTACTTGGACTGGCCCAAGAGCTGCGAGTTGTTTGCAGCGTTCGTCTGCTGGGCCGAGCCTTTGCCGGGAAACCGGTCCATGAGGGACCCCGGGTTTATGAACCCAACAATAATGCTCAAAAGAGTTTAATCTATATAATGCATGGAGAAAGCATATAAATACCAAAGTGAAATCAACATGATCATATCGGTTTAGAAATACCACATGTGGAAACCAATTTGATTTATACCACTTGTAATAGGTGGTGGATATTTAAAGTATGATGCTTAACTCCGGGGACTCCATTTTCTTTGCAATAAGACTACTACACACATGATAAGCATGAAAAGGTGTTAGTCTCAAAGCATCCAACTTGTAGAGTAACCTCCCCCTAAATTTGTGAACACAAGTATGGTATACTTGTAGGAGACATGCACATTGATTTTAGAATAAAAAATACCACTTGAAAGATGACATCACATGAATGTGAGAATCATTTTCGAAAGTGATATTCGGGAGAAATTATTTATAATTTGGACTTTGGCACATATTAGATGAACAATTGTAAAACAAGCTATGTGCCGTACTCCTAAACAATTTAAACCATGTAGGTTTGCTCCAAGGGTTAAGAGTGAAACCGAGCAAGCCTACCATAAGATATACCTAGTGTATGCAAGACAAAAGATTAAAAATGCAAATGCAAACCTAGGCATGAAAAGGAACTAGATGTTAATTGAAATTGTAAGAAATTAAATCTAGTTACCTAACATGGGAAGAGAATTTGGATCCATAGTGTTCACTAACCCACTTGGCAATTGACATGATCTAATGTGATGCACCCCATAAAATACACCCATACTTTGCCAAGTCTTCAAATTCCCCGAAGTCCATCGGACTGCTCACTTTCTTTTTGGGATCCAAACTTTCTTGGTGCTCTTCATGTTGGAAATGATTTTCTTCGGCACCCAAATGCGTTTGGCTCTATTGTTGGCTTGGTTGTTCATCTTCATGGCCACCACCTTGTCATTTTTCTTCTTCTTCAAGAGATAAGGTGTGGAGGCCTTTTTGTCCACCTTGTTGGTGTAGGTGTTGGAGAGCTTGCTTGTTTCCTTTTTGTTTTTCTCTTTCTTCTTAGCTCCTCCCCAATTCTTCACCTTGCACTCATAGGACTTGTGGCCTTCCTTGTGGCATATATAGCAAACCACGGTTTGTCCTTCATCAAGCTTCTTCACTCCCTTGACGGTGATATCTTGATGAAGTTGGGCTTACTCCGTCTTGCCTTTCACTTGAGTCAAGTCCTTGGTGAGGCGAGCCACTTCTTGCTTGAGTCGCTCATTCTCCATTGTGACCTCTTGTGTGCATGTATCTACAACAACTTTCTCAACACAAACTTAGTTGCACAAGGATAAGTCTAAACATAAATCATTGCGAGAAGTAGAAGCATCCTTTTAGGCACGTCAAAGATAGAACTTTTCTTTCTAGGTGCCTTGGTGAGGGTTGTACCGACGGCTTTAAGATTAGCAACTTTATTAGTTAGCTCATCACAATGTTTGCACATGGTTTCCATTTTAGCAAGCAAACTTTTATAAGCATCTTGTGAGCTAGTTAACTTTTCTTTTAATTTTTCATTTTTATTTACAAGTTGCTCATCATTGATTGTGCATGCATTTGTTGTTGCACTAGCCTCAAGTTGCTCAATTTTAGTAGATAGTTCAATATTGAGATTAGCAAATATCTCATATTGTTTAAGCAATGTTTTATATGATTCTTGTGAATTATCTAGCTTTTCTTGCAATATTTTTAACTTCTTTTGTTGGCTAGTGCAAGCCTTAGCATATTTAAGATTTTCTTACACAAGTTCATTAAGAGAAGGCATTTTATCATCACTATCACTGTCACTAGAGGATGAGCTTTTATTATCTCGAGCCATAAGGCACACACGAGAAGAGCTTGATGATGAGTGCTTGTGACCTCGCCTCTTGTGATGGTCTTCTTCTTCACTTGAAGAATCATCCTATGACCTTATTGATGTGAGGGCTTTGTCCTTGCACGCCTTCTTCTTTGTCATGGGTGTGGGCTTGTTTGGACAAACTTCTACTAAGTGCCCCAACTCCCCGTATCCATAGCATCATTTCTTTATTTGCTCATTTCTTTGATTGGTGAAGATGAAATTTTGAATTTAGATGGACACACCCTTGACATTGAGCCTTTGAATCATCTTCTCCACCTTATTGATAAGTTTGATTGATTCTTCATCAAGGTCAAAGGTGGAGGGGGAAGATTGATCATCATCACTTGAATCTACATTATCATCATCATCATCTTCTTCTTCTTCACTTGAGGAGCTTGAGCTTGAGCTTGTCTCAACTTGCTTGCCATTCATCTTCTTTTTCTCACTACATGCGAGAGCTTTGCCTTTGCTTGATGATGAGGCTTCTTCTTGACCCATCTTCTGTGACATTTCAAATGCCACTATCTTGCCAATGACTATGGCCGGGGTCATGGTGCTCAAGTCCTCCATGTTGTGAAGGATGGTGATAATGCTTGCATATTTCTTTTGTGGTAGCACGGAGATGATCTTCCTCACGATGTCCGCATCATCTAGCTTCGTTAATCTTATTGAATGTAGCTCATTGATAATTAGAGTCAAATGAGAATACATATTACGAACAAGCTCATCATCATTCATTTTAAAGGAATCCTAATTTTGTTTAGCTAGACAATGTTTTTGCTCACGGACAAGTTGTGCCGTCACGAAGCTATTGGAGTTTTAACTAAATTTCATGTGTCGTATTTAAAGTGAACACTTGGTTAAACACATCCATGCTAAAAGATTCAAACAAGCAATTTTTAGCTCTAGCATTGAAATGATTTTTTTTCTTCACTCTTTGTAGGTTTATCGGGATTCTTAATGGGTTTCATCCCATCACGAGTGACTCTCTAAACACTTAAATCTACCACCTCAAGGTGACAAGCCATTCTAGCTTTATAGTAGGGGAAGTTAGTGCCGTCAAAGTGCGGAGGCCTAGAGGTATCCATCCCAACCACTCTAAATAGCGTCGGCTCAACGACGGTGAAGCCAAAGGTCCAATTTAAGCCAACCGGCTCTGATACCAATTGAAAGGGGACCGTGACGCCTAAGAGAGGGGTGAATTAGGCAACTTAAAACTCTAACTCTAAACTATGACCTCTTTTTCTATCCTTAGCAAAACATATGCAAAAAGATAAACTATCTAAATGTGCAACTACGATTTTGCTAGTGTGTTGCTATCTCTACTGCAAAAGAAGTTATGCAAACAATGTAAATGCGGAAGCTAAAGAGTAAGGTAGAGATATGCAAACTTCCATCAACGACTCCGGTATTTTTACCGAGGTATCGAGAAGCGCGCAAGCTTTCCCCTAGTCCTCGTTGGAGCCCCTTGCAAGAAATCCCTCGCAAGGGCCAAGCTCCCGGTCAGGTAACTCCGTGGATAGCCTCGGGCCTACCCCACGTGCAAGTGGGTCTCCGATGTGCCTTCCGATAAGCCTCTCCTGGACCGCTCCCCGCCGTCTTCACTATCAAGCTTCCGGCCAAACCGCCGCGGGCCTTGTTCCCTTCGGTACACGGTGGCGGCCACACCGATGTACAACAATGGTGCGCGCAAGCATCAGTGGTAAGAGATATGCAAAACTGACTAAACACTAGGCCAAAACCTAGAGCAAGCGCATAAACGGTGATCTAATCAACCTAAGCACTTCACAAAGCACCTACGCTAATCACCTAATCAATCACTAAGCATTATGCAAGTGGAGATCACTAAAATGGTGTATCAACACCCTTGGTATGTTTCCTCAGCTCTCCTCATCTCAAATGGTCAGTTGGGGGTCTATTTATAAGCCCCGTAGAGAAAGTAGTCGTTGGAGGCGAAACCTAGCTTTCTGCTACTGACCAGACGTTATTGTCGTCCTGACTGGACGTGTCCAGTCGTCCCGATCGTTAGAGCGCGCGCATTGATCGGACTCTGGGCCAAGTCCGGTCATCATCGATCGGACGCGTCCCGTTGCGCTAGCGCCGCTCTGGAACCTTTCTGGACTCGATCAGACGCCACTGCCTAGCGCGTCCGGTCGTCCACAGCCGCTGCGTCCGGTCACGCTGAATTATTGCCGCGACGATGAATAGTGAAGTCCATGCGTCCAGTCATTACCTCGCTCAGCGTCCGGTCGCTGCTGCTAACGCCTGCTGTTGCCGAGCAACTGATCGGCCGTGTCCGGTCACCTCTGTGGAGCTCGTTTCTTCGCGATCATGCGTGTAGCTTAGTTCTCATCTTCATACTTGGACTTTGCTTGAGATCTTGGGTCTTCTCTTGTGCTTATAGGATCTTGCTTATGATGTTAAGCATAGGACCATCATATTACCTTTGTCCAAGTCATGTCTTACACTCTATTAAACTACAAAACAATTACTTACAAATTCATTAGTCCAATTTAGTTGGATTGATCATTAATCACCAAAATCTGAAGTAAATAGACCTAAAGTCCATTTTCCTTACCGCGCCCTTTACGGAACAGTCCCTTAATCTGCCGCCTTAGACCGCTCGGCCACCTCCACTTTTGACTTACTTTATTAAAATATAGTTTTTTTATTATTTATAAAAAGCAGAAAACACTATAATTTCTGGAGGAAACAAAAAAAAAATTGTGGAGTGGGATTTGAACCCACGCCCTTACGGAACAGACCCTTAATCTGCCGCCTTAGACCGCTCGGCCACCTCCACTTTTGATTTACTTTATTAAAATATCGTTTTTTAATTATTTATTCAGAGCAGCAAGCAATAGGCAAAATATTACTGGTCAACTTGAGCGCTACAAAATCGGAATGAAAATATGTACACGATCGCTGTTGTATTATTTTTATCTAATCTGAAAAGCAGCTAACTGCAATGCACGTCCGGGGTGTAACAATAAAGGTTACCCCAGGGCCCATGTGCTATGCTAATCCTGTCCCCGAGTTAGCTCATGGTCCTTGGATGAAAGCGCCATGAGAGCAACCACTACAGATCTCATGGTAGGCCTCATCCTGGGCTCTTCATGCGTGCATGACTTTGCAAGGTACGCGATCTGGTACAGAGAACACAGGTCATCAAACAGTTTAGCACATAGTGTTTATTCTGTGCAACAGTTGAACAAAAAGTGATTGTGGAGCCGAGTTTGCCTGTAGCACTGACCTTCACAACCGAGTCAATGGGATAGTCACCTCCTAGCCTTGGATCAATCAGTTCCTGAAGAGCTTCCTTGGGGTTTGGCATGCTGAGAGCCTCCTCCTCAAACTGCAAAAAGCAACAAGTAGATTGGAGAAATCAAACATATGCCCACGCACGAACACAGATCAGCGTGCTTTCTGCTTTACATTGTGTCCATTCTTTTCCTTTTCATCAACATCCAAACATGAAAATGCAACTCAAATTTTTACTTGACAACTGTAGTAGCCAACGTAACTGAATGAAACAGGCTTAGAGGAATAAAAGTAAATTTAGGTACAGAGTTCAGATCACCAGGACATATAATATACTTATTCATATTTCCTGAATCCAATTGATGCAGTACCATACATGTTGCGAACATATTCATCAACTTGGAGAATTGTATATTTGTAGTTGTGCACACATTCTGATTGACATTAAGAAGTACCAACTCCAAGCATGCTGATCCTCCCTATGTTCTGAATATTTGAAATGCAATGTTACAAATTGAAAATTGATAGGAGGGATAAATTACCAGATAAGCCAGGCCTTGTGCATCAGTGAATTCTGTTGATCTCACAATAGCTTCTTTGGCTGAAAGAAGTTCATACAGGACTATATCAAAAGCGTAGACATCCACCTTAGGAGAAACCTCACCATATCGAGCATACCTGTCAATCAGACAACTCTTTGGTACTAATAAAATGTAGAAGCAGCAGTTGGGATTGTAAATGGTAGTCTATCAAACTATACTGTGATGTTATTTTGAGTGTGTGCACATTCATGCAAACTGAATAAATGAACAAGATAGTTGATACCCTGAATACTTCCTCTGGAGGCATGTAACCAAATGTACTGTTAGTCGCTGAATTCTCACTCTTGGTAGTAGGAGAATTCTCACTCTCATCGAGAGAGGATGACACTAGGAGTTGGGGCAATTTTCTTGTCTATTTCTCACACAAACTCACACAAATGCCATGTCAACCTGAGGGGTTGGGGTTACATATTTATAGCCTGCTAGCCAGCCAAGCATATGCCAAGATGCTAGTCTAAGATGCTAATATGCTGTCCTAGCTAAGATGCTGTCCTCTAGTCTAAGATGCTGTCCTCTAAGATGCTGTCCTGCTGTCCTCTAGTCTAAGATGCTGTCTTAAAAGCAGAAAAACAGCCACAAGGACCATGTGAGCAGTACAGCCCCACAAAGACCACACATGAGACTTATCCATCATTTTCCCCTAAGTCTTAAAGCGCCGCCTTGTGGGAGAGTTGAACCATCCCGGTCCTGGAGCAGAACTCAAGGAACTTGATCCTCCCAAGAGGCTTGGTGAGCAGGTCCGCAAGCTGGTCCTTGGTGTTGATGTAGCTCGCCTTGATGCTCCCTTCCTCCAAACAGCCTCGGATGAAGTGGTACCTCACCCGGATGTGCTTGCTGCGTTCGTGGAACACGGGTTCTTTTGCAGGGCAGAGCGGACTTGTTGTCCACCCCGAGCTCCACCGCCTAGTGTCTCCGCCGAGGAGATCACCAAGGCCGAGCGAGCCAGAGCGCCTGAGTCGAAGCGGTGGAGGCCGCTATGTACTCGGCCTCGTGGTGGACAGGCCACCACCTGGCCGCTTGACCGATCGCCAGCCTAACGAGGCACTTGCCGAGGAAGAAGAGGATCCCGCCGTGCTTTTGCTGGTGTCGATGTCAGCCGCGGCGTGGTCGGCTGTGTCATTGCAGACCCGACGAAGTGTGCCGCCCTGTGGCACCTCGGGTAGTAGAGGCCGTGGTCGAGAGTCCCGCAACATAGCGGATGATCCTCTTCACACTTCTTTGGTGCTCCGTCGTCGGTCGCCGCATGAACCGACTAACGAGCCGACGGAGAATGCCAAGTCCGCCGCAGGTGGGCGAGGTAGCGAAGGCTCCCCACAAGACACCAGATCGCAGAAGCGCCCACCTCCTCCGTCGTCAGGTCGTGGCGGGGCTTCAGCCTCTCCTCCATCGGAGTGAGAGCTGGGTTGCGCCGGTGAGCCCAGCTAGCTCAACAACGCGCTGGCGAGGGCGGTCCGTCAAGTGTGATCCCGAGTCATTCGGTGCACCTCGATGCCTGTGTAGAAGGAGAGAGGCCCTGTGTCACTCATCCGGAAGGTGGCCTTCATCTCTTCCTTGAATGCCGCCACCTCCGCATCCTTGGTGCCGGTGATCACCAAGTCGTCGACGAGACACCCACCAGCAGAGCAGGTTCCTCAACCGCCGCCTGCCGGTAGATGGCCGCCTCGCGCGGGCTTTGCTCAAGCTCATCCCTTTAGCGTGGAATCCAACTTGGCATTCCACGCTTCGGTGCTCGCCGCAAGCCATAGAGGGCCTTGGCGCAGCGGAGCACCTGCCCTCCTTGCCGGGGATCACAATCCCGGCTGGCCGGTGCACGAGACCTCCTCCTTCAAGTCGCCATTAAGGAACGCCGACTTGACGTCCATGTGATGAACACGCCAGCCCTCCCGGACAGCCTAGCGCAGGAGGAGTCGCGACGGACTCCATCCGCGTTACACGGAGCAAAGGCGCGTCGAAGTCGACCCCCTCCCGCCGCACGAAACCTCGTGCCACCAAGCGAGCCTTGTGCTTGACGATGGCATCGGCTTCATCCTCTTCGCCTTTGAACACCCACTTAAGGGTGATCGCGGTGACCACGAGGAAGGTCAAGAAGCTCCCTGTGTGCGGTTCTTCTCGACCGCATCCATCTCCAATCGCATCGCGGGCGCGCCATGCCGCGTGTCTCTCGGCCTCGTGATACGCATCGAGGCTCGCCGTCGTCACACGCAAGGTGCAATCGCGCCTCCGTGTCGTGAGGCACCGATCCCGCACCGGCTGGTCGCCGAGAAGGTTCTCCATCGTGACGGTACCGCAACGCTCGCCGCCGCAGGTACGCGCCGACACGCTCCTCGTCGTGGAGAGAGCGGAGAAGCGAAGCTCAACCGGTCGTGCTCGACACGAGCTGGTGGTGGAGTAGACGTGCCCGGAGTGGTGCCTGCGGTGCCGGAGAGCTTGTGGCGTTGCCGGGCCGCAGATGGAGCCGGCGAAGAACTCATCGCAGCCGAGGTCCCGGCCGGAGAGTGTGGTGCTGCTCGAGTAGCAGCGCGGGGTCGGTGGAGGCTCGGGACCGAGGTAGACGCGCTTGTCGGAAGAAGAGCTGGCTACTCCCCAGGCTCCTCGAAGTGGGACGTATTTCGGACGGTGAAGTCGCCGTGACGCCGGAGCCGAGCCGTGCCCACCGCCTTGTCCACGCCCATCTCGCTTTTTCGCCGAACACAACGTCGCGCGCTGCGGCGCATACACGCCGTGTCTTCGGTCGAGGATACGGTAGGCCTTCGAGCCCTCCGCGTAGCCGGCGAACACCGCCGGAGTGCTCTCGCCGCCGAGCTTGCCGATGTGGCCAAGCTCCTTGGCGTAACGCGAGGCAGTACCAAGACCCACAAGTGGGAGACCGCCGGGCTTGCGCCCATGCCAAGCTCTCAGACGTGTGTCCGCCGTCGAGCGCTTTGGTAGGCGAAAGGTTGAGGATGTAGACGGCCGTCACCACCGCCTCTCCCGAAGAGAGGCCCGCATCCCTCTCGCTTGAAGAGGGCCCGAGCCATCCCCACAACCGTCTCGTTGCGCTGCCGACGACGCCTGCTGCTGCGCGGGCTGTACGGGCTGGAGTAGTGGTAATGAATGCCTCTCGTCAAGAAGATGACGCGAATTCAGCCGCCTGTGAATTCGCCGCCGTTGTCGGTGCGCAGCTTTATGGTCAGACTCTCGCCTCCGCAGCACTGCATACAAGGCTACCGAGAAGCGCCATGCAGCCTCTCCCTTGTCTGCCGAGGATAAAGATGGCAACGGGGAATTCCCCGTCGGAGGATAAGCCACCATCCCCGTCCCCGCGGGGGGGAATTTTCCCCGGCTCCGTCCCCATGAACAACCACGGGGAGCCTTCCTTCCCCATCCCCAATCCCCATGGGATTTTCGCCCCAGCTGGGATCCCCGCCCCGATACAACAACATACACAGGCATAAATCTTGCAATGTTGACAGATTCACACATGCATAAATCTAGCAGCAAGGTTCATAGATTCATAAAAGATCACAGATTCATAAATCATGTGATACTCATTAGTCTAATCAATCTAGCAACATAGTTTAATAGCAAGACTTCGGGGCTAATGGGCCTTTTCTTACATGGGCCTTGCGCCCCTAGCTACTGCGATTCGATGGTGCTGCTTCACGGGGCGGGGATGCGGGGATCGGGGTCGGGGACCAGGGTACCATCCCCGTCCCCGCCATCCCCGACGGGGACAACAATTCTACCAATTTCATCCCCGTGGGGATCAATTCTCCACCATCCACATCCCCTAATGGAAGAATTCCCCGCGGGGAATCGGGGATCGGGTCCCCGTTGCCACCTTTAGCCGAGGACCATCACCCACATGTAGCGGGAGAGGTCGTCGACGAGCAGCAGGAAGTAGCGTCGTCCTCCCGGTGTGGCCGGTGTCACCGGGCCACACAAGTCCCCGTGCACAAGCTCGAGCCTCTCCTTGGCTCGAAAGCTCGCCCGCTGGGGAAAGGGGAGTCGCCCTCTGCTTCGTCAACACGCAGACGTCGCAGAGCTGCTCCACATGGTCAAGGCACGGCAGCCTCGCGACCATCTCCGTGGTAATCGAGCCGCCTGTGGCCTCGAAGTGAAGGTGCCCAAGCGCGCGTGCATCGCGCACGCCTTCGCCATCCCGACGAGCAGCGAGACAGAGGGGTTGTGCCACCTGCACGTTAAGGATGTAGAGTCGATTTGCGCTTCTGGATACCTTGGCAAGAAGGCGGCGACGGCGATCCCAAATCCTCATGACTCCATCCTCAACCACCACGCGCGAACCATTCTCATCCATTTGTCCCCAAGTCAAGATGGAGTTCCTCAACGCGGGGATGTAGTAGACTCCGGTGAGCAGCCTGTGCTCACCAGACACGGCGGTGAAGATGACGGAGCCGACGCCCTTGATCTCCACGCCGGAGGCATCCCCAAACTTGACGGAGCCTCGGACGCTAGAGTCAAGCTCGGTGAAGAACTCCCGTCGACCGGTCATGTGATGGGTGGCGCCGGTGTCGAGGCACCACCCGTCAGTCTTGTCGTTGCCGGAGCCGTCGCCGAGGAGGGCGTGTGCTTTTGGCTCGTCAAGGTGGAGGAGAACCGCTGCGGCCGGTGCCGCTGGAGGTAGCTCGATGCTGGCATGTGCCATGAACAGAGCCGGTTCCTCCTCCTCCGCCTGTGCGACGTGGGCCTGGCCGCGTCGTGGCTGTCGACAGTCCTTGGCCCAATGGCTAAGCCTGGCGCAGATTTGCAGCGAGTGTCGCCTCGCGTCGGCCAGGTCGCTGGGTGGGCGCCTGGGCGCCCGCGGGCATCATCTCTAAGACGTCCTCGCGCCCGCTGGCTGGCTGCGCTGCGCTTTGCGCGGCTTGCCACGCTTTGCGGCCGCCTATCACGGAAAAAGGCTCCCCTTCCTCCGGTCACCCCGGGCCGGCAAGCCACCGCCCCGAAAGTGAGAAGGAGCTTCCGCTTGATGGTGATGGGCCCCGAGAGGGATGTGGCTTATCATTGCCGACGACCTTGAGGCGACCTATCGCCTCCTCGATCGACATCATGGAGAGATCCAGCAGAGACTCGATCGAGCGAGCCATCCGCCTGCATTTCTCGGGACGCAGCGGAAGAGCTTTTCGACAGCTCTCTCTCTCGCCAGAGGTGTCGCCGCCGAATCGCACCATCTTCTCGCAACAGAGTGTTGAGACGGAGAGCAAAGTCATCAACGCCCTCACCGGCTTGAAGGCGTGTTCTCCAACTCCTTGTGAAGTGCTCGCAGTGTGGACTTTGCGGGCGTCGTCTTGCCGGCGCGTGCCGCAGCGATGGCGCCCCAAGCCTCCTTGGCATCCGCTTCGGTAAGCGAGAATCGCATCTCAAAGGGATCGCAGCAGCGATGAGAGCATCCAGCGCCCGTCGATCTAGGTCGTAGTCGACGCCGCCGCATCGGACCGCCTCCCACATGTGCCGCACTGAGCTTTACCCTCATCACCGCAGCCCACTCGACGAAGTTGGTCTTGGTGAGGGTAGGCCACCGATCGCCAGGCCGACGCCCCCGACGACGGCTCGGAGCCCGTGGTAAACCACGGTACCGATCCGGGAGCGAGAGCCACGCCGCCTGTGACGGCCGCGCTCTCCATCGACCCGTCCGCCACCGCCGCCGCGTCGCGCGCCTCCTCCAGAGCGCCGCCGGTAAGCGTCGCGCCGTTCTGGGCTACCGCCACGCTTCGTGGCGGCGCGGCTGCCCTGTGAGCGCCACCATTGTCGGCGCGCCTCCTCAGAGCGCCGCCAGTAGCTCGTCCGCCGTTCGGGCTGCCGCCACTTTCGCGGGCGCGCGCGGCTGCCCATCTGCGCTGCCGCCAGGCCGCTTCCCTTTCTAGCAGCTCGAGGTCCGCGCCGGCGGTGTCGTCGCTGAAATGGAGCTGCCGATCTTTGCCGCCGCAGAGAGCCTCGACCACCGCTGCCGCCGCCGCCGCCGCTGCATCCGCCGCCGCCGCCGCTCCGCTCGCTCGCTCCTGCTATCGCCACTCGCCGCTGCCAGCCGACGCCCTTGCCGGCCGCAGCAGCTGTCTCTGCCGCTTCGCTCGCGTTGCCTGCTGCTGCAAGTTCGGCCCGCCGACGCCCAGGCTCGAGCGCACCGAAGCAGAGACGGCCTCGCGGACATGGCGCGCCATCTGGGGGCTGCTGGGGCGTGGGGAGGCTGGCTGCCAGCGTGCCTGTCTCGTGCACAGAGGGAGAGGAGTGAGCAGGAGTGACCGGAGCTGCTGCTACTCTCAGCTGGGGTTGTTGCGAGGCTGGGCAAGGGGATGAGCAGGAGATGCTCAGGCTACAGGATACTACGGCTCTGATACCACTTGTTAGTCGCTGAATTCTCACTCTTGGTAGTAGGAGAATTCTTACTCTCATCAAGAGAGGATGACACTAGGAGTTGGGGCAATTTTCTTGTCTATTTCTCACACAAATGTCATGCCAACCTGAGGGGTTGGGGTTACATATTTATAGGCTGCTAGCCAGCCAAGCATATGCCAAGATGCTAGTCTAAGATGCTAATATGTTGTCCTAGCTAAGATGCTGTCCTCTAGTCTAAGATGCTGTCCTCTAAGATGCTGTCCTGCTGTCCTCTAGTCTAAGATGCTGTCCTAAAAGCAGAAAAACAGCCACAAGGACCATGTGAGCAGTACAGCCCCACAAAGACCACACATGAGACTTATCCATCATGTACCAACAACTCGTAGTGATGGGAGTGACTGTGATGTAGCAGTAGTTCCAATTTCTGAGAGTTTTGTCAATCCAAAATCTGCAACCTGCAAGGTACCACTGGTATTGCACATAAGATGGCTAAAACATGGAAAGATTCATGAATGGTTTCAACCTTTGCTCGAAAATCTTTGTCTATCAGGATATTTGCAGACTTGATATCCCGATGAACATACACTGGAACAGTGTGCTCATGAATATACTCTAGACCCCTTGCTGAATCAAGGGCGATTTGCACTCTACTGGTCCATGAGAGAGGTTCATAACCTACAAGAAATATATGTGCTGAATACTTTAAGGAAAGTGCAATACAGTACTGCAAGTGCAATGTGATACATTCAAATAGCAAAACTTTACCAGTCCCATGCAGATGCTGGCTCAGGTTTCCATTCTCAATAAATTCATAAACAAGGAACAAGCAACTCTCAACACAATAACCAATCAAGCGCACCTGTGGGTACCAAAGAATAATTAAAAATTATTCCAACAGGAAAACATCTGATAGTATGTTACATATTGAAGAAATATAATCTTCTGTGAACTCTAGTCAATTTTATTATTAACTTTCTGAGGGAAGTACAGAAAAACAAAAATATAGTAGGTTAGTAATTAAGATTAGTTCCAAATATGCCTTATCTCTGAAAAATGAAAAAATCTAAGATCACCAACCAGATTCGAGTGATGGACGCGTGTCAAAACCTTCAGTTCAGCAAGGAATTCTTGAGATGCCTTTGTATCCATTTTCTTTATGGCAGCTTTCTGGACACAGGAAAGAGAAAGGGAAAATTATTTCACATCACAAGTATACCCCAGATAGACTGCCTCCTTTTATTTCGTTTATGTGCAAGTCCACAAGGGGTCATAGGCATTAGTTGTCTATTGAACTGTCAAGTGCATGTGCACCAACTACATTGCCTATCCATGTTCCACACTGAGAAAAAGTTGAGCTGACCTCGCCTCTAAGCTCAGCATAATAAACAGAGCCAAAACCACCTTGCCCAATTTTATGCTCCATACTAAAGTTGTTTGTAGCATCGGAAAGCTCTTCATATGAGAACTCAATGGATCTGTCAACCTTCATGCCGTCAGCTTGTGAAGCCTTGCCTGGAAAGACATTTAATTAAAAAGTGCATAACAAGTTGACACAAACATATTATTGTGTTTGCCAACATGACACAATTTATATGAGCAAAAAGATAGTATGTTCCTTACTAAGTTAGACCGAATCCTCTGGAGATGAGAGTGATACGGCTTTTCTCATTTTTTGCTGCCTATAATACAGCCAGATGCCAACAATCAAAATAACAATACAGGCTATCACAATTCCTGCTACTGCTCCTCCAGAAAGGCTATTTCCTGTTCCATGTAGTAGAACGCGAGTTAATTGCCTTTGTTTCTGTCAATTGAACAAACCATCCAACTTTGCTTGTCGATGTTTAATATCCTTAATATAGAAACATATCTCACAAAAGTGTACAAGTGTGCCAGCACTGCACAAGGTGATGAACTATCAAAATTCTGAACCTGTTAATATAACGGGAATTAAAGATGATACTTGAAGAGATAACAAAACAATACTCACCCTGATTCCAGAGGGCGGTAATTACTGTCAGCATTTGAAAAAAAAAAACAGTAAAGCATTCCAACACAATTAAAGACAAACTGTATAATTCCTTGCAAAAAAGTGACCAGTCAATTAAATGAAAAAAAACATAAAAAACACAACTGAAAGTTGAGTTGGTCCTCTCACGTCATCAACTAAATAGGCAAATAGCTAACCCAATAACTATGATTAGCATATGAACCCTAGAAAATCTTCATTCTTTTTTTTGTGAGGATCTTCATTCATTTTCAATACATCTGATTTAGCATCTGATAGCCAGGCCCTAGGCATCAATAAGCAGCAATCCAACTAAAAAACACAAGTGAAGTTACCACACAGTAAACATTATATACCAACGAAATGGAATATTTAAGGACTACAATTTTTGCGTGACCAAGATTAGCCATTTCATTGTCAAGTCACAATTGTGATCAAACTAAACTGGATCACCAAGAACACAATGACATGATTATGCTACTCTGAGCTGTTCGCAAATTACCTAGCTACATGCCTACATTACCAAATTGAAATTCAAGCGGGAATCCAACTGCGATATTGCAAAGGAATCAATTGTACAAACCCTTTCGCAATTCATAATTTCACATGATGAAACCAAATTGGGAATTGTACCCTCACCTTTCACTGGGATAAACACGATCCCCTTCCCGGAGGCCCCGTCCATACCAGGATTAAACCTCCTGAGCAGCTCCAACTGCGCACGAGACGAGAACCCGTAGTGCTCCGCCACCGAGGAGAACGTTTCCCCTTCCCAGAGCGGATAGGTGAGGAACAGCCCGTACCGCCGCGACACACTCCTGTCGCCGCAGGAGCAGTTCACGGTGACATTGATCTTCCCAGCGGCGGGCAGCTTACCCGCCGGTTCCGCGTTGGTGGCCGCCAGCCACGAGGCGGTGGTGAGGTTGGCGAATTCCGAGGCAACGTCGCCGTACGTCTCGCCGCCGCCGGAGAGCGTGTAGGGGAACGACCCAGCGAGGAAGGTGGAGGCTGGGTCAGCGGGGAGCCCGAGGCAGGAGCAAGGAAACGGGACGATGACGCGGTACCCGGTGACGATGTAGTTCGGGTCCGCGATGTCGGGGTTGTAGGGGAGCAGCTTGGTGTAGTCGGCGATGCCGAAGAGGGAGGCAGCTGACACCGTAGGGGCAGCTGCAGGTCCGGTGAGGAGGACGAGGAGAGGGAGCATGGCGTGGCTGTGGCGGACTGGGAGCGGAGCCACAGCCACGGAGGAGACTGGGGACGACAAGAGTGACGCGATGGTTTTGACTCCTACAGTGGGTAGAGGGGACAATGCAGCGGGCTCGGTTTAGGGTGTGTTTTCGCGAAACGAAATTTTTTGACAGTCACGTCAGATTTTCGGGACGTCGAGGGCTTTCGGATACTAATAAAAAAAACTAATTATATAGTTCGTCTGAAAATTACGAGACAAATTTATTAAGCCTAATTAATTTATCATTAGCGCATGTTAGTTACTGTAGCACTTATGGATAATCATGGACTAATTAGTCTTAAAATATTAGTCCCGTGATTTCCAACCAAACTATGTAATTAGTTTTTTTTTGTTTATATTTAATACTTTATGTGCCGTAAGATTTGATGTGATAGTTTGGGATAAAAAAATTTGAACTAAACCAGGCCTTATCGGGCCAAAAAAACGCACACGCCCGCCAAGGCCGAGCCCATTTATGTGCCATGGTTTGGCATTATTAAGTTAGACACTTGCTCAAGCATCTTTTTTATGGCACTGGATTCCTTCTAAGGGGAAATCTGGTGGGATGTTAAGCGGCAAAGCTGGAAAGGTTTTCCTTACTTTGAAAGTGGAGAGTTTGTTACAGTTGCTAATGTGTTAGATAAAAAAACTTTTAACAAAACCTGGCCCCTAGCTAATATTTATGGACCTACGCAAGATGAGCATAAAGACCAGTTTCTGTGTGAACTGGCAATATGTGTGCTAACAGTATGCACCCTTTTGCTAATGGGTGGGGACTTCAATATTTTACGCTACAGTGATGATAAGAATAAGAAATTTTTTAATAACAGATTTTTAGAGCTTTTCAATCGTATTATAAATATGTATGAATTGAGGGATTTGGCCCTTCAAGGGGGTAAATGCACCTGGAGTAACAATAGAGCTGACCCAACTTTAGAAAAGCTGGACACAGGGTGTTCATCTCCAAAAATTGGGAGCTAGATTTCCCTTTATGCAACATTAAAAAAATCCCTAGATACGCTTTTTATCACAATCCCATTGTGTACAGTAATGATATGGAGTGCAACAAACTACAAAGCCTTTTTGCTTTGAGAATGCATGGTTAAAACATCCCGACTTTTCTTGATCTCTGAGATTTGGAATAAAGAAGTCAGAGCCAAAAATTATGTTGATAATTGGTGTATCAAAATCAATAGGGTCAAGAAATTTCTTAAAGGATTGGGCCAAAATATAAAGGGTCATAATAGGAAATATAAAAGGTTGCTTCAGGGAGAATTGGGAAAACTTGAGGAGCTGGAAGAAGAAAATGGTTTAATAGCTAATTTGTTAAGCAGAACAGCTTTCATCCAAGGGGAGCTTATGAAACTTTTAGATGAGGAGGAAAGTTAGTGGCATAAAAGAGCAAACTCAAATTGGCTATTAAAAGGTGATAACAACATTGAATTCTTTCATAGGGTAGCAAATGGGAAGAAAAGGAAGAATACCATTTTTTGCCTTCAAGGTGATAATGGTAACATTGAAGGGGATGAACAAATAATTAACCATGCTACCCAATACTATAAGTACCTCTTTGGCCCAGCAGGTAGACCTAGTGTGCAAATGGATCCTCACTGCTGGGACCTTGAGGAGAAAGTCACTGAAGAATAAAACAGTAAGCTAACTGAAAAGTTCTCTTTAGAGGAAGTTAAGACTACTGTCTTTTCTATGGAAAAGAATACAACCTTAGGGCCTGACCATTTGCCAGTTGAATTCTATCAACACTGCTGGGACATCGTAATAAATGACTTATACCATGGCCCACGTTCGCTTCGCTAAAAAACAAGCCGAAACATTGTTCCAGCTGATTTGTTGTGAGAGAAAAACACTGTTCCAGCTAAAAAAAACAAGCTGAAAAATACGGATTATAAGACAAGCGAACAGGGCCCATATGTTCAAAGATTTCGAGGAAGGTAAAATGGACATTGGACGTTTTAACTATGTCATAATCACCCTACTACCCAAAATTAAAGATGCAAATAGGATTCAACAATATAGGCCTATTTGCCTTTTGAATGTCATCTTCAAGGTCTCTACCAAAGCCCTTATGCTTAGGTTGGAGAAGGTGATGAGTAGAATCATTAACAAATGCCAATCTGGTTTTCTCAAAGATAGAAACATTATGAATATTTGAGAATAAACAATTTTACAATCTTGAAAAGGATAAAATGCTCTATACTAAAGTTGATGTTTGATAAATTTTTGTAGTAATACAAAAGGATAGCACTCTATATTTACTCACAAAATAAATATGCAGTACAGTGACAGATAGGTGTTAGCGCGCCCGTCTCTGTTTGTAAATCGAAAATGCCCACCAGTTGACCTGCCCACACCTTTGATTATGCTTTTCGTAGTAGTGAATTAGTGACATATGATCAATCAAATTTGGTCTACATTTATTTTTTGATAACCTTTAAATCTATAAACTTTTCTGACCCCCTACCTATTATTCTACGGGTGATCATTTTAGGTGACTTGTCAATTCTAGAATAACTCTAGTTACAGTTCGTTTATTTTGCAATCGACTAGGTGAAACAGGTCAAAACAATTTTCATCGAGTTTGCTGCGGGTGATCTGTTCAATGATCCGAGCATGCAGTTCATAGTAGGACCTTAACTACGTCAACTGATGAATTAACCATGACTCGCACGCATGATAAATCGAATGTTGGAAAGCTACAAAACACTTTGCAATTGATCGAAAAAAAAACAAGCAGCAAATTTTAGATTTCCTGAATGATATAAACGTGACATCCACGTCTGGTCATGAGGCACGAGCATAGAAACATCTAGAGACTTCAGCGGACTGTGCTGTCAAGCCTGCGTGAACCCATTAATTAATCAATTGATTAATCACTGGTTCATTGAACCCTAGTACCCAACAACATCTTGGCAAGCAAACTCTAATCAGGTGTCACGCCCAACGCCCATGGAACACTCTTCTTGATGACAGCAAATGCTCGACCGCGTGCGCTGCACTGACATGGGTAACGTGTAACGAGAACTTTCCAACCGTACGAACACAAGCCCCGTGCGAGTGCGACGGCACGTGTCTAGCGCCCGCTGCTCGCTCTGCTGCTGCTGCCAAGGTCTTGACGACCGTCCACTGGCGGCAGCCGGTTCATCAGCGGCAGCCCGGCCGCGACGGCCCGCACGTCGACGTCGCTGCTCTGGAGTATGTGCAGGTACTGCTCGAGGTCAGGGAACTCCTCCACCGTCTCCGTGGCAGAGGACGACGACGACGACGCGGCCAGCATCTGGGGTGACGACGACGTCGTCGTTGCCGTCGTCGGGAAGTTGAGCTTGGCCTTGGCGCCCTTGAACCTGCGCGCGGCGGCGTCGTAGGCGCGGGCGGCCTCCTCCGGCGTGGCGAACGTGCCGAGCCACACGCGCGCCGCCTTCTCCGGGTCCCGTATCTCGGCCGCCCACTTGCCCCACGGCCGCCGCCTCACGCCCCTGTACTGTGCCCGCGCCTGCAGCTCCGTCGTCCCTCCTCCTGCATGCGTACATGTGTATGCACGCATGAGATAAGCGCGCAGGGGGAGGGAGAGAAACCGCGCCGTACCTTGCCGCGGCCCCGGCGGAAGAGCCGCCGCCGCCGCCGCCTCGCCGCCGCGCGGTGGCTCTGTGGCGCAGACGACGTGCGTGAGCGCTGCGGCCACGACGGCGACGTCGTAATCGGCGCGGGCGGCGGAGTAACTGTAGCCGAGAAAGCCGCCCCCTGCTGCTGGTTCCACTTCCACCTTTGGCACCTCTCCGTGCCGAGGAGTGCCGACGCCTCTCTGGCCATGCATGCTGCTGCCTCCCCGTCAAAGCCCATACGTCTCTGAAGGAAGCAAGAAAAGGTGATAAGATAACGATGTGAAGTACAGACCGCTGAGCACCCTATATTATATATGCAAGCTCTCTACCACGGCGATGGCTTAAAAAGAATATAAATCACAGTATAAACGCACACGTTATGCACAGATCCTTATAAATATGTGCACATTACATCTATAAGTATATCCGGAAGATTGCCCTGTTTTTTTTATACCAGACCTTTTGGGGGCCTCATTGTTTAAGTTGCATCTTTTGTTTTGTTTTTTTTTTAAATTGATTTTCTAACTTTTGGCTTCTAGCTGTTTTTTTTTCTCTTGGCTTTTGTAATAAATTTTTAGCTGCTTAGCACACCAAACTACTCCTCCCAGCATGTTTTCAGCTTTAAATTTATTTCCTCATAAGTAAGCTTTCTAGCTTTTTAAAAGTCAACTCAATAATTGTACTGTTTGTTTTAGCTTCTGATTTTTGACCGGTAGAAACCAACAAAAAGCTGAACAAGCATGCCCTTAATATTTATAAACTCTAGTAGAAACAGCAAGCAACCTTTAGCAGCAATACTCAAAATGAAGTAACATTGTGGCAACACTACAAGGTTATGTTTGGTTCGGCTTCTAGAAAGTATTTCTGTTGCCACAAGTTAGAACACCAACCAAACGGATGGGATCAGAAGCTGCTTTTCTAGAAGAAGGTGCTTTCGCATATTACATTTTTGGCAGCACCATGGATCGTGCTTTTAGCTTTCAGCTTTATACTTTTCCAAATATTTGCAAATAGAAAGACGATTTACAGTTGTTTCAATGGAGATATAGAGGGGGTAGTTTCTATTGTTATTTCAACCAAACCGCTTACAGGTTTCCATGCACATAGCTCACAATAGCTTTCCAAAGCTCACAACTCACAACAACTTTTTCACGGTTCACAGCTGAACCAAATAGACCACAAGAAACGATTTTTAGACGTGCCCCATTTGTTCTAGAGGTGGCTCCATAGAAAATTGCATGTAAAAACTGTTTTAGAGATCGCTTGCCTTTAGAAATCGGTTTCTCTGGAGTCAATTGATGTTTCCAACCTCTATTTTCAGAAGCATCTCTAGAAATACTATTCTAGAGATGGTTGGTG